CAGCAGAACCCCTTCCCCTTACAGGTGTAAAAGTACAAGTGTCCATATTCCAGCAGGTAAAAAGGTTTTATATTAGAAGAGATATATGGTGAAGAACTGAAGAAATACTTAGGGAGGATCTGCAGCATCCAAATTGGCTAAATGGGTCATGAGAACCAGAAAAGTAAAAATGAATAATAAACTAGCGAGCGGCTGAGATGAAGATGAAGGACACAGCCGCAACCTCAAAGAAGCCTTCACAAGTCTAGGGACTGTATTAAGTTTAAAAAACACAGACTGCTCTTTGGGTCATAAAGTTCTTGTGAGTGAAGGGATATGTCTAGCACCGATTAATAACTGTGTGCTTGATGTTTTTTAAAGATGATGTAATTGAATTATTGCCAAGCTCTTGTTGTTCCCTGTATGACTTGATAGTTTTCTTTTCTGTATATAAACTACTGATTTGCAGAAGTAAAGTTGCAGCAGATTCAAACCACTTTCGAGTGTGTTTGTTGTCTGTCTGTCAGTCGCTGAATCCTTGCCTTCCTGACTACCCAAGCCCTGATTCTCCTACGGTCGTGGTACTCCCGGTGGGCCAGTCCGTGGCAGGGTGGGAAGCATGGTGGTGTGTAGGCAGACATGGTGCTGGAGAAGGAGCTGAGAGTTCTACATCTTGATCCACAGGCAGCAAGAAATGAACTAGCTTGAGCTTCTGAGACCTCAAAACCGATCCCCTAGTGACACACTTCCTCCAACAAAGCCACACCTCCTAATAGTGCCCTATAGACCAAATATCCAAACACATGAGTCTATGGGGGGGGGCATTCCTATTCAACCTCCACAGACAGGTTGTGATTGCAGGCTCATCAGGTAGGAGGTGTGGCTATGGAACATAAAGTAGAGACAGGCCCAGAATCTTTGTTTTCAGTGCTCAGGTGATCAAACATAGAAACTCAACAGGTTGTGGAGCAGGATCTAACTCTCAAGTGGGGAAATGCCTATTAGGGTAAGCAGAGACTCGGAACCACTTCCAGAACCGGAACCAAAGGCATCTGGGTTTAGATCAAGATTCAGTTTTCAGGGATCTTGGGAAGATAGGCTGAGGGAAAACGAGGCTGAAGGCTAAGTGTGGGCTGAGTCCAGATAACGGGAAGGCTGTGACTGGGTCACTACAGGGCTATTGCTAGCTCAGCAGTTTGTTGGGACAATGTAGGAGGATGCTCTTAGGGGTCAGCTGGAGCAGTTGCCATTGCTTAGACTCGGTTTTCTCCTCAGGGCTAGGCCTGGGGTTCGTACCCACCTATGGAGAGGGATGGATTGCTAACACCAGCTCTCTCTGGCAGAAGACTCTAGGATTCCCTAGACAGTCTCAGACACATTGGGGAAAATAAGGGAGCTGCCCTGCAGGCCACAGCATCCTCACATGACTCAGGAAGAACAGGCCAATGCACTTCTGACCTGGTTCTCTTGGCATTATAGGTGTTGAATCAGTCATCGGCCAGAACAATGTACAGTCTTGTGGGGTTCACTGCAGTGAGTCAGAGAGAAACCCCAGTGGCTGCTGCAGAGCAGGCACTCCATAAATGCTTCCAAAACAGGAAAGCTGAATGACATGAAGAGGAGAGAATGACAGCTGGGAGACGGGGCACATTAGCAGTGGCCCTGAGAAACAGGGCTTTTCTCATGGCATCCTCACCATTGACAACTGAGCGTCAACCTTTCCCCTATAATAAGAAAAAGAATTCTCCAAACACATTTTCAGATTCTAAAGTGCCGGAGTCAGGGAGATGTTCCTACCCTTGACCCAGTCATCCCACTCTTGGGATTCTTTCATAAGGAAATAATTCAGCAAAAACAAGCAGCCAAGCACAGGAAGATATTTATGATATCATCAACTGAGGCAGCACATGTTTGACAATAAGGAGCTGCCTCAGTTTTGATATATTTATCCAGCAGAATCTCGTGAAGGTGTCAAACTGGCCACTGTGAAGGTTGTGTACCAAACATGGACATGTACAATAAATAATTGAGTGAAAGTGTGATTTTGCAAAACTTTAGTTCCTTGTTTCAACTGGTTAATTAAAAACATTTTATTTTATTATTTTTAATTGTGTGTGTGTGTGTGTGTGTGTGTGTGTGTGAGAGAGAGAGAGAGAGAGAGAGAGAGAGAGA